GGAAATGTCTACTCCTTAAATGTGGAGCCATCTCCACACGTATCTCATCGTTGATTTTTTATTTTGTACTCTAAAGTGTAGAATACCAAAAAATACTATATGAACGATGTCAAAAATTAGACAGTAATGAACATATTCTACACTTTAGAATATGTGTAGAATATGTCAAAAATGAACGATGAACAATGTCGAAAATTAGAGGCATGGTTACAACTAAAAAAAAAAAATGGAAAAAAAAAAGAGAGCAGTTAATAGTGTGGCAAAGAATATGTTCTTTTCCTCTTAACATTGTTTGCCTTTTTCATTTTCTTAAAATTGATGGCTAAAAATTGAGAGGAATCATTTGGTGCGCTGTTTCCATTTTTCTAATACAAAATATGTCTGATGTAGGAGTATGATTAAAAAGAGAATAAAATCCCATAAAAAAAAGTGATAAAAAATGGATTTTTCTAATGATACAAGTTAAGAGAATGTTTATTATATCATAAAATAAATAAATAAAAATTAATTTCAGTATTGTTGTTATTTAAATGAATTTAATTAGACAATTATAAAAAGTAAAATCAGTTTTCTTTTTTTTTTTCATGTTAATTAATACAAACAAGGTGCTTGTAACTTTCTACAATTAATTTATATTGAAAAATTAAAAGTTAAATTTAATTTGTGAATTATTTAACTAAAAGCTTACATGTTCCTTGGCGATAAAAAGCCGGTTTTTAAAACCTATATTATAAGAGGACATATTAAGAGTATACTTTCATCATAAATATGTATAGAGGTATATAAAAATTGACATTAATTTTAGTGTTATTATTAAGTGAAATAATTTAATTGAACATTTGTTAAATTAAAAGTTAATTTTTGTTTTTTCAACACAAATTTATAATAAAAAAGTATATATATTACTTTCTTATCATCTACTATTAGGGCACAAGTTAAAAAAAAGCTTATAAAAACTTAAGGAAAACCCGATAAAAATAGGTCAGCTTTTTGGATTTTTTTTATATAAATTAAATGTAAAAATATACAATTAATATATCTTTTAGACAAATTCAAAAAAATAAAACAAAAGAAAAGTGTATACGAGCTTTTTTTATAAGGGAAAAAAAAAAGGAGAGAGAGTTTGAAGACACAATGGTATATTAACCAAAAATTGTAAACCAAATATGAGGATAAAATAAGAAAAGTAATATACCGTATAACACTTTTTTTTTTTCAACGGATTACAATTTTGGAGAAGATGATTCAAACTCTAACCCTAATATTAAGGTATATCTTACGATTAGATATGTAGACATTAGACCATGAAACCCAAGTGCAATATACCATATAATATATAAAATGAGTAAATGTATAATAATTTAGGGTGGTGTTATAATGATAATTTTTTTACATCACTTTTTCATATAACTTTCACATGTTATTAAATGAGTAGACGTATTCAATATCATTCCTACATAAATTAAAAAAATCAATCATTTTAATGACATGTAAAGTTATACAAAAAAAATGAAACAAAAAAATTATATAAAAATTATTTTTCAATAATTTATGGGATGACAAGGGAAGAAGAGATTGGTCCATAACAAAAATATGAATATATGTTATTCAAAAAAAGTTGCCGCAGCCAGCAATTTTGATTCTTTTCAACATTATTGCCATTTGGAAGCACAACTTAAACGAGCATTATTGAGACACTTCAGAAGATTCTTTTTACACACTTTAG